TTTTTTTTTTAAGTTTTGAAGGAACAACACAGGAAGAGTCTCCTGACACTAAGATTTAAAAAAAAGAAAGGAAAAAGACTGGATCCTAAAGGGAAACTATGGAGAAGGAATATTTCTCAGTGAGTACCCAAACTTACCACATCCCCTTCAATAGCCTCTTCTTGTTTTGGTTCTTCAACTTTCTTGGGTAATAATTCTGGGGAGAATTCGGAAACAAAATTGAAAGTGTTCCTTACAGAATTAAACAGTTACCATATAACCCAGCAATTCCACTCTTAGGTATACACCCACGAGAATTAACAATAGCTGTTCAAAGAAAAATAGAAAAATGTGTATATGAATGTTCATAGCATTGTTGATAATAGCCCCAAAGTAGAAGCAACCCAAATACCCATCAACTGATGGACAGATAAATAAAAAGCCATACAAATACCCATCAAACGGAATATTAGTCAGTCATAAAAAAGAGTGAATACTGATAAATGCTACCACACTGATGAGCCTTGAAAACAGTTTACTAAATCAAAGACCCCTCCCCATTGCCATTGTTGGTTCTGACTCATAGTGACCTTTTCGAACGGAGTAGAACTGATCCATAGAGCTTCCAACACTGTAAATGTTTCAGGAAGAGACAGTCTTATCTTTCTACCAAGGAGGAACTGAGTGGTTTGAACCTCCAGCCTTACTATTTACAAAAGGCCATATATTGTATGATTCCACTTATATGAAATATCCAGAATAAGCAAATCCATGGAGACAGAGATAAGATGTAAGGGAAAGGGAGTGATTGCTAGTGCACATGTACTTGTTTTCTAAGAAAATGTTCTAGAATTAGGAGTGCTGATGGTTTTACAAATAGTGAATATATTGGAAAATATGAAATTGTTCACTTTTAAAGGGTGAAATTTATAAGTGAATTATATCTCAAGGGGGGGAAAAGATTACAGGGGAAAACTGAAGGGAGTTAGTATTAAGATTATTCTGCCAGGGGCTTAAGTGGAGAGCAAATGTTTTGAGAATGATGAGGGCAATGAATGTACAAATGTGCTTTATACAATTGATGTATGTATGGATTGTGATA